TGTCGTCAGCAAACTTGCTGAGGGTGCACTCCAGGTACTATGAAATGCAGGTCCAGTTTAATTGTGGCAGACATACAGGGAGTTACAGTATTGGCAAAGTTATGATGGTTATAGAAAGTATAAATAATTTACTGGTAGGCTAGTAAGTTCTGAATTTGATTTGTGAGAGGACAAGTGCAGAGATAAAGCTGTGCATGTCTTCGTCAGAACAAATGAAAGATTATAGTGGTTCAGGTTTTGGTGAGCTTGGGAGGCTGAAGTGAGGACTGCAGCATTTAAGGAAAGATGGAAGATTAAGAGCTGAATAAATTTTCAGATCTGTATGCAGAGGAAAATAATTGGATCTTGGGAACGTTGAGAAGGGAGAAGCTTTAAATTGTCTACACAGGGAGAGGACTCTACAGTGACTTGCAGGTTGTGCTCTTGAGTGGAGAGAGAGGTGTCAGTATGGTAGTGTTAAAAGGGGCAGATAATTGAGTTGGCAGTAAGAAGTGTCACATCTGTTAACTTAAATTGAGTAGAGAGAAGTGACAAAACTCTGACATACGCTTCAGTGTCATCAGCAAGGGAAGTTGCATAGAGGGAAGGGAGTAGGAGATCTGGGCAGAGCTTTGTGGTATTGCAACAAAAATGTGAGAAGAGAGTGTGAAATATCCAGTGAAAGACGCTGAAGAAATTACTGGATGGATAGAGCAACACTAAGAATGGGCTACAGGAGCCAAGAGAACAGATTTCCTCTCATTCTCCCATTCTTTAAGAACACTTAAGGTTTGTGTGAAAAGAATCCAGAAAGTTTTCAGAGTCTATGGTTTTGGAGACATTTGGAAATCATTTCAGCAAAGCACAGTACTGGTAAACCAGATTGTTTCCTTTCATATTCCCTGCTGATCTGGAGACAGTAAGTGTAGATAGAGCAGTTGAATTCTAAAATAAAAGGTCTGATTAGAAGCAAAGAGTATGTTTTAGATTTTTGGTTGCAGTGGAAGACCACAGTAAGCTTGAATGTGAAGGCACTGAAATGAGCTTTGATAGTTGTTAATTGGGAGAGGAAATTGCACAGCCACAGGGAGATGATGATATGATGGAGAGATAATAAAAACTGAAACAGGAGGAGAGAGGGAGTTAGAGAGGAGAATATCTGTTAAGTCACCGTCTTTGGTAAGACAGAAGGCTGGGAAATAGTTTTTGTCTCCGTGCTCACCATTCTGGGATAGGGTGAAAAGTTGCTAGAATACTGTGAAGGAAGGGAAAGCAGAAGACTCATTTTGCCGTTTGAAATTATTTAATCTGATCTGAGATTATCTCTCAGATTTTTTTTTTTTTTTTAATGTCAAAGCAAATAATTTTATACCTTTGAGGCCATGGATGCACTTAGCAAGGTCTTAGCAATTTCACAAATGGTCCTACGTTGCTTTGTTTTAGTAGTTTTGAGTAGGAAGTTGAGAGGCCTCCTGTTCCAGGTCAGGATGTATTCAGTTCAGAGCGCCTGTCAGTTCTCATGCATAGCTTGAACGTTCTGTGATGGATGGTGTCATGATGCTAATGACCTAACTTATTGATGGTAAATTTAAGTGACCTGTTTGTGAGTGGCATCACAGAAAAGATAGTGACATGGAAGTATCAAGAGAAATTAGGCATTTTGTAATGCCAGTTACTTCCATTTTTTTAATTCAGCATACTAGTCAAATATTTTAGAAAACCTAAAACTAATGTATTCAACTGCATTAGTATTAATCCCAGTAAATTTAATTTATGCAATACTGTAAGTTATCTTTTGGGGGGGTTTTGCCCCCTTAAGTATTTCGTGTTGGAAAATCAGCTTGTTTACATTGTGGACTTCAAGTCATATAAAATACTGTGTATTAGTTTCAGTTGAGCACAAGGGTGTAAATATATGATCAGTCCTTTTTTATACAGCTATAGCATTATGCATGGGTGCAAACATTTGAAGAGGGTAGGTGGACAGAGTAAATACTGGTAAGTATTAACCGATTCTGAGTTCTGAAAAAGTGGTTTTATAGGTACAGCAGTAACAAATGGCAGGACCAACATGGTATTATCAATTGAAAGTGTTGTGAGTAAAAGTAGAAATGATGTAGGTACCGGTAATTAAACATTGCTAGTGTATTCAGGAACATATATGGTATTATAAAGGGCTTTCGTGCTGTGTCACAAATCTTCTAATATTCTGTGCTGTGTTCTCCACAGTAAGACAACAATCACTCTCACCTTTCCCTGCTTTGGGAATGTAGCAACCTTCCTTAATAGCGAAGGTGGTAGAGCAGCACACCACGATGTTGTAGGTGGACGAGGCAGTGGTACCTATAGCAAAGCTTTCCTAAGCCAATTCGATTGTAAGAACCTGTTTAGGTTGGTTTTAAGTAGCCAGACTTTCAGACAGACTCTGTGGAGGACAGCTGTCTGCCTGTGCTGTTGGTGGGAAAGAGAAGGTAGATGCAACTGGAGTGCGAAACCAGTAGTGAGCAGTGAGAATAAACAGGTTTGGAGTGATAGTAATGGCAAGTTTTCGTAACCAGTGTAGTGCGTTCATCTCCAGAACCGTGAATTAAACCTAAAGATCTGGATTTTCATCACTCCTTTCCTTTTTGGTTACTACCTAAGTTTCCTTCGTATCTTCAGATTTTCTTACTGTGGGAGAATTTGGACCTGTGTCTCCCTGCAGAGTACTGTAACCACCAGGCCAGTAGGCAGGTGGTGTTCCCAGCTGTGTTTTTGGAGCAAGGCATCTCGGCAGAAGCAGTTACACAGATGTTTTAGAAATTGAGGGGAACAAAATATGGCTTGGAAGCCTGGTGGTGGAAATGCTCCCCTGGAATGAGAGGCGCAGGTCTTTATGTTCATGTCCATAGGTATTTTGGAGAAATCTGCTAGACCTGGTTCTGAACATACGTGGAAATTGACTTAAAATAGTGTGCAAAATCCGGGTTCTTACATGTACAAAAATAGATGTGTGAGTTTTCTAATCTTGACTTTTTTTCTTAATAGCATTAGTTTATATTTGAACATGGGAGGAATATTGAAATTTTCTTGGGTTTTGTTTTATTGCTTTATAAGAATAGTCAGCCTAAAAATTAGACACTGTTATCTTTCCATTGTCAGCACCCTTTCTTAGATTATCCTAGCTCTGGTCTTCCATTTTTTAGGCATTCTTATTCCAGTTCTTCTAGTTCACTGTAAAATTTCAGAGCTTTAAAATTAATTCTTTTATCCTAAATAAAGGTTTTTTGGTTCACTCTTTTTTCTCTTTTGCTTACCTTCATTCAGATCTTGTATCCTGTTTTCCTTCCTGGTGCTTGCTTTTCTGCTTTTTCAGTTCCTCCTCCTTTATCTCCCCCAGTTCCCTCTTAACTGTTAACTGAATGAAATTATACTTGTGTTACAGTCTTTTTTCCTGTGAAACTGACTGCTCCAAGTATTCCTGCACATGCAGCATTCCTTTCCTAATGTGTTTTTGTAGATGGGCTTTCAGGTGTGGCTAGGTAATGTATGGAATTGGCAAACTTGCATTTAGTTTAGCCCTGTAATTGTACAGATTTCAGTACCTTTTCCACAAACAAGGCTGTACAAGAGAGATGTAGAATATTTTAAATTGCTGAAAGAAGTTGATTTGATAATGATTCAAATATGACCAGTCGTGTCATTTCACTATGGTGCTAGAAACTTACTTTGTTAACCTTGAAAGTAAAATTAGACTACTAAGTTTATCTGTTATTCTAGTTTTAAAAAACTATGTATAGAGCATTCATAAATAAGATTATTTTTTTTTTGTCACACTGTTTTACAATGTTCATTGTTTTTTCTTTTGATGTCCGTTTGACATTCTAAGGCAACATGGCAGAAGTGCTGTTTTCCCCGTTGTAGTTTGTTGTCAGACTATTTCAAGGAGAGAAATATGAGATTATATGAGACTACCTGTACTACTAATTCTTGTATTTTATGTTGTGTAGGCTATCAAGTACTAGCTCCCACTGCCTATTACGATCAGACTGGTGCCTTAGTAGTAGGCCCTGGAGCAAGAACTGGCCTTGGAGCACCAGTCAGATTGGTGGCCTCAACTCCTGTTATAATCAGTTCTGCAGCAGCACAAGCAGGTAGGTATTTGACCCTGCAGGGAGGTCTCTTCTGCTTTTGTACTGAGATACTGTTGATGTGTTTTGTGAAGTTTTCTGGTTGTGAAGGATACACCACGCATGCTCTCTTTCTTAGGTTGTTGCCTCCCTTTCTCTGAGACACTGCTGTTTCTCAGAGATGTGATTTGCCTTTCTTAAATTCAAATTTACAGTCCTCTCCCCATACATACGCAGGCATGTTTCTGCAAACGTTGTTGCTTGTCAGATAGGAACATTTACCCCTTTCCTCTCCCCATGCATATAACATGCACTTCTCATCAGTTCCCTAAATGGTGTCCTCTAGGAAGCATCATTTCATTGCTTCGGCCTGGCAGAAGATGACGGAGTGCTCTGGGGCCTTGTTATGCCTGTCTCCTAAAAGTATTTTCTCTTGAAAAGTGTGGCAAGGAAAAAAACAATACAATGGACAGCAGAAGAGGAGAATTAGTTATATCAAAAGTATCTAGTTTTCTTTTTCTCTTTTTATCAGTGACAAGGTCTGGTACCACTTTAGTGAACCATTGTATTTATTGCATTTGTCAAATAAAAAGCCAAAATACTAACACCAGATTAATTAAATTAATCTGTTCAGAAAATTAGATTTTATGTTAATCTATAAGCTTCTTTCTCTGTGCAGAACTCACTTCTGACATTAGTAGCTGAAGATGTCTTTGAATGACTCTTAGCTGCAACTCTGCTATTGCAACTAAAAGTACAGTTCAGTGAACAGTAATGCCTTATATGTTTACACTGAAAATTCCCTCAATTACATTAACAATTCTGCAGCCTTGATTAGGGTACAACATATGCTGTCTTCATTTTTTTCCTCAGGTAATTAAGACTGTGTAATACTATAAAGTCTCTTTTAGTCCTTTAATATGTGAATTTCTGCTTGTTTAAGAGGGCTTCAGGAAAATACGATGTACATCTGAATAGTCCATTTTCAGTCAGAAATGTTTGAGAGAGTAATTATAATTGAAAACATGTGTTTTACAGCTGCAGCTGCTTCAGCTGGAGGAACAGCAAACAATCTCGCGGGAGCCACGAACGGTCTATTTCGGCCACTTGGTGCCCAGCCACAGCAACAGCAACAGCAAACAAATAGTAGCCTACAGTCCAATTCATTTTATGGCAGTAACTCTTTGACCAATAACTCCCAGAGCAGTTCCCTTTTTTCACATGGTCCTGGCCAACCAGGAAGCACATCTCTTGGCTTTGGAAGTAGCAGCTCTTTAGGAGCAGCTATCGGCTCTGCACTTGGTGGATTTGGCTCATCAGGTAGGTTGTTGATATAGTGAGGACATTCTGTGAGACTTTTGTGTTAAGCAAAACAATGTATCTGTATCCAGACATGTTATATACACATACATTTCTAAAAATGCAGAAATAGGTTATTCAAGTTTAAAACAACTTATAGAGGAAGTAAAAGAGTGTTTTAAATTCATTTGGGCTCTGTATAGAAGATGCATTTTTGAAGAATATCCTGTAGTCATAGATATCTTCACAATACTTTTCCATATTGAGCACTGTACTCTGCCCCATAAGTTTAACTGGTTTTAGTAAGCTTTTTTTTTTGTTTTCAAGGAAGTCTTCATTCTGTGTTTAGAATGACAATGGATGGAGATGCACTCTGTTGTTGTAATTTTCATGTCAGGAAAATTTCATCATTTTTTAAAAAATTAAATAGCATATGACTTTCTAAATTTGATCTAATATTGAATTTTTTGTTTCCATAACATTTTTTGTAGGATTTATAAAACAGAAAGACTTAATAGCCAAGAATAGTCCTTGTTAACTCTAGTGGGTTTAATCTGAGATACAGTTAAGTCTAAATAGTTCTGTGCAAGTTTGAGGCCTTAAATTATTTCAACAGATGCTCCTAAATATTATCAACATGTTGGTAGTTTAAAAAAAAAAAAGTCAAAACCCCCAATGTTCCTGCTTTATAGCAGAAATTTCTTATTCGCACAGTTTTTAAACATGCAAGGTAGGTTTTCTTGTATTTCAGATTCAGTATTAGTAAGGCAAGTGGAATGCCTTTTCTGAAGAATATTTCTTTTCGCTATTAATGTCTTAGTTACAGCACTGAATTGCTTATTATTAATGAAATCAGTGGAGCATGTTTATAATCCTATGTATCTTGCAGATGGGTAGAAATTGGGGGAAATTTAGGTACTCTAAAAATATTATTTTCAAAATTAAATGCCCTAAGGGAAATAATATTTAAAAAAATTTAAATGTTGAAAGAAATGTAAAAAGTGAAGATTATTACAAGATAGCTTAATATGTGGAAAAACAGAAGGAAAAACACACCTTTCAATGTTAAAACATGATACCCATTATTTGGTAACTAAGTGGAGATGAATAGTGACATCAAATATACTGTGTACCAACACAGAGACTTTCTCAGTGTTGTTTTTCATAATATAATAAAACAAATAATCCAAAAATAATAATAAAATTAAGTAATCCAAAAGATTATTTACTTTAACAAAACTAATGCTAGGAAATCCAGAATTAAGTTTTACACTGATCCTCTCTAATACCTGATTAAAAATAAAAATAAATAAAGGTAGAGGCTAATCAGTCGCATAAGGTTTCTTAATTTTCGATAATACCACAGCAGGTAAATCTTCTTTACAAAGCAGTTGTGCTATCGAAGTGCTGTATTTTGTAATTTAATTGGTCCCGAACTACTGTAGGATTTCAGTGAATTCTTAGCAGCTGTGTTTCGCTCTAGGTACAGCTTCATTTCGTTGATAGACAGTGTATTTAATACAGCGCACCCGTTTTAAGTCTCTAGATAGAGTAGTTTTAAGTCATAGAAGTCTTCATCCAGCATTATCACAAGGACCTCCATGCAAGACAAATTTTAGTTGTGTATCTACTTAAGCAGAGTCAGCGTAGTTCTCTCTGGCACAGGAGATTAAGCCTTTTTCTTGTAGCAAAGGTCAGTTCCAGAGCTTTGTCCAAAGCCTTCAGCATAGACAGCATATGCTGAAATCTTGCAGCAGTATGCTAGGTGATTTAATTAGCATGGTAGGGAAACAGGAAGCCTATGCTTTTGCAGTTTGAGAAGTGCTGATGAAAGGTGCTTATTGGAATAAAAGTATATTGAAAGTGCCCTTCTGCCAAGTGTAAATTGTACTTGCCGTAATAGCCACTTAAAAAATGCTTCCTGATTATATTTTTTTTAAAAAGAGCTCCTGAGCTATAGGTATCTATGAATTGAATTACACAGATGAGTACTTATACAAATGGTGTTAATGCATGTTGAGGCAAATGAAAAACAGATTTAATTTTTTTACCATCTGCCAAGGTTTCAGCGTTTTTGTAACTCACCTCAGTGTGTTCTAAAGGTTGAATTTCAGTTAAAATATAGCCACGAAGACTGACAGATGGCAATAGAGATCTTGCCCTTATGTTTTCAGTTGTTGCAGGGGGGGAAAAAAAACAGCTCTGCAAAAAATGCAAAGGTGAGCATGTTCTAGCTGAATGACTGAACACCAAAGTAAAACAGGAAGAGGCAAGCACACCGTATAAATGGCTGTATGTACTTTACAGTCTGCTCTTTTATTATAAAAGTTACTCATACTCCATTTTAAAGGTTTAGGTACATAAGTTACTGCAGCTTAACAGGTAGCTAAGAATTAGACCAACTACAGCAGCTTTCCAGATGCTTGTTTCTGGCTTGTAACAAGTGTAAAGTAATTGCATGAGCTTAGACAGTGATGAAGAGGGGTAAGCTAATTCAAATTATCTTCTGGTTTTTGTGAGCTCCGCTTGTGTGTGTGTGAAAATGCAGCTCAGCTGGTTCACGGTAACTTGTTAAGCTGCAGTAATTTAGCTGAGTAAGAAACCCTGAAAGCATCATGTAGCATTGTATTAACATTCGCATGGTTTGCTAGCTGAGCCAGAACCTGTAGAGCTAGTCTCGAATCTCAAATCTTAAGATTTCTTTCAACTGTTGCCTTAATTTGCTTTTCTGATTTCTTCTTCTCAATCTCCATGCCTAGGTAGTCCAGTACCTTTTCCTTCTGGCTTCTCCTCTAGTATGTCTTCCTTCCCGGTTTCCAGGCAACATTTATCTCCCGCTTCCCCTCCCAGATGTTTCTGTTTCTGCTTGTACTGCGTGGTGTTCCCATCATCAGCTTACTATTCCAGTCTTTTTGCCCCACAGTCATGTGTACCTTCTACAGCCTAACTTTTCTTCAAATCTGCTTTCTTTCCATCCTCAGTTCCACTGGTTTTGAAAGTGCTTGCCAGTTTTTCTTACAGTCTCCTTGTTGGCTCCTTTGTCTGACCCTTTTCTCTACCTGGTTCTGGTTTCCTTTTTTTCTTTTGTTTTTTGTTCTTTTTCCCTGGTCTATTTCTTATGTTTGGCTTTTGTCTCCTTTGCATTTGAATTAGAAAACTTCCACACTGCCTGATGGGCCTTCCGAACACAAGATGGGATCATGGACAGCAGTTTTAAGTCCATTTTTGGCATGGCACACAGAAGCCTAGAAGTTCAGTTGCAGGGAAGACCTTTATCGGCCATCTCAGATGTGCCATGTGTGGACAGGAGTTTTAATTTTCAGCTATGAGTCTGTAGCAGATCTGTGCTGAACTTGTGTGAACTGTGATTTTACTGAGATTTTTAGTTCAATCCAAGAGAGCATGAAAATAAAGGTCTCCTGTTGCTAGCATATTGGTCTGAGTATGTGAAAGCATGAAGTTTTCAAATAATAGGTAGCTGGATTATTTTGCTAAGGATAAAGCATCTTTCCTTGCTTATTTTTCTGAAATGGCAGTGTCCTTTGTGCAGAACTTCTTTGAAAAATTTGGTCCAAGCAGGTGCCTGCCATGAAAAGTGTTAGCCAATTTGCTATTGTTATGACAAAACAAATTAGTGTCTTAAAATGGGAAGTATCAGGTGACCTTTATATTGGGCCATGTGCCAGCTTTAGTAGGAAGGTACCTGACAAGGGTAAAGATTATGGAAGTATAAATTCTGACCTTTCCTTTTTAAGTTGAAGTAGAAATCAATTTTCCAAATTCAGCTTAAGAAGCATCTTTGTTATCAAAATATCCATAATCTTGATTTTGTTCATGAGTATAATAATGTTCCAGTGTTTAAAATAGGCACTCTAATATTTCACTAGTATGCAACAGGTACTAGCAATTAACATTTCTAAAACCTTTTTATTGTTCTCCTAATTTATCCTAGACTGTTCATCGCCCTGCTGAATGATGCTGTGCAGGATAACCAGTCCTTCACTAATACACTGTTACCCAAAGCTTCTAGTGTAATTTGACTTTCGCAAATGCTGGTAGCAGTAAAATTACATTTTTAGTTTCTCACTTTAACTTTCCTGTCTCTGCTCTGCTTCTTATCATCTTCTTAGCCTATTCCCTCTTTATAATTTCTTTTCAAAACACTTCTTTGAGAACCATAATTCTCGTAGGGAATTTAAGAAGTCATTTTTTTCCTACAGGTGAGGGGTTCACAAACAAGAGGAAGGTCAGAAACAGCTGAACAGGAACATAGATTATATTCTGAACCCTCAAACAACAACCACCAGTTGTCTCTAGCCTTTTTGCTGAAATCAAGTGTCACTGTCTGACTGATAATTTACGGTGGAAAAAATTTGTCCAAGAGTTTAGTGGAAAAAATTTTTAGATTCATTTATTCTGTAAAGTGACAGTGTAATCTAATCTCATAAAGTCCCAAAGCCTGAAGGCAGGTGGTTAAAACAGAGTACTGCAATATTTCTGTGAGAAGTCTAGAATGAAATGTTGAAAAGACATGGGCATTGGTGAAATTACTTACCAGTGGTATGTTTATACCCACTTAGATTTACTTAAAAGCATGTGTGGTTATCACAGTAATTGTCTTTGTCATAACGATTGGTGTAATTATTGTGATCGCGGCTGTTATTGCCCAGCTGTAGTTGCGGATAGGTTTTATTCAGTTGACACTGTGTAATTAGGGTCTTTTTATTTCTTCTTCAGTTGGCAGTTCTGCAAGTAGTAGTGCCACAAGGAGAGATTCTCTATCTACTAGCTCTGACTTGTACAAAAGATCTAGTAGCAGCCTAGCACCCATAGGGCAGCCATTTTACAATAGTCTGGGATTTTCCTCCTCTCCAAGTCCAATAGGCATGCCTCTGCCAAGCCAAACGCCAGGACATTCACTTACGCCACCGCCATCACTTTCATCACATGGATCCTCATCCAGTTTGCATTTAGGTAAAAAAAACAAAAACAAAAAACCAAAAAAACACTTTTTGTTTGTATGTGTGTATGTATTTCTATGTGTAAAATATATGTTGCATAAGAGATGTCACATTACCTTTGCTGTTAAACAGTTTTGTAATGAAGAGGGGCCATTCCCAAAAGGTGAAGAGCACACTCAAATGCTCACTGATTTGACAGTGGAGGGCACTCAGCTTTTTGCAGTATCGGGCCAACAACTGATTTTTCTTCCCTTGCAGAAGCCTGATAGAGAGCCCAGTAAGACTTATTGGTCCTTTTTGTATTCTGTTTCTACCGTATGACAAGCAAAGGTGCATTGTTTTTTGTTTCTACTTCAGTGTATTACCACTTTAAGGACATTTTAAGGTGATAATGTGTTTAACAGTGAAGTGACTTTCACTACCGCCCTTTACCATGATAAAGTAGAAAAACGAGCAAAGCTTTCTATGCAAAATGTATTGAAAGGTGATTTTTGAGTCAGTGAGCCTACTGCCTCATGGCCCAGATTATCCCCAGGCTGGTGGAAAAAAGGAAAATGCATTTGTGAAAGAAGTAGCATAGGCTTTGTCAGTGGTGGCTCTCTGTTATCAGATGTATTTTTTAAGGAGTGGTGATAGTCATCTTTTAGAAAATTTTTGAGATAGTTAGATGACATGGGAGCTCAACCTTTTTTTTAAAAAAAAAAAATAAAATAAAATAAAATTATAAAATCTAAAGAAACCCCACCACAGCCTACAGTATGTTTAGAAGAGAATGCTTCTAACCTGAAGTTACTTGATAAACTTTCCTCTTTTTTTTTGCTGTAAATATTTGTGGTCATTTAATTTGTATGCTAAAATCATACAATGAAACTGGATGTAATTTCGAGTTGCCTGTTGTTCCAGTAACTATTCAGTGCACAGTTTTGTGCATGTAATAGGCAACCTAATCCCCTGTACTTCTGTTGGTGCAAATGAAACAAAAAAAAATTGAAAAGTGTATACCAAAATACACTTTAAGTAAGAAATGTGATTTGTATAAGAAGGTTAAAAGTAATTTAAATATATTACATTTACAGTTCAGTATCCCCTTCACGGTTGAGTGCTGAAAACCCGAAGTAAAACTGGGCGAGGGGATGTTTCAGCACGTTTTATTTTTTTTACTTACCTTTTTTCCTTTTTCAGGTCTACAAAGTGCACCTTTGGGCTGAGACCAAGCATGGAAAGTTTCAGCCCAAATGGAGGCTTTTGAGAAAGTTCTGAACATCTGACAATGGGGTTATCATGGAAATCTTTTTCTTTCTTTCTTTTCAAAGTACTCTCACAATAGTTTTCATATTACTGAAAACTATACTTAAACCAAATTTTGGAAGGCATTATCTAAAATTCAAAACATTTATAAAGTTTTGTGTCGTTTCACATTTGATAAATGTTAAAAGACTTTTTTGGGTTCTGAGAAAATAAGCTGCAATCAGTATAGAGGATTACTTTTGTCAGCAGAAATTGTTAAACACTGATTTTTAATCCATCTGGACTGTTTGGCAGTGTGAACTAAGCATAATAGTTTGTTAAAATCATGTACTAGATCAGTGTGTAAAGGCCAGAATATACAGTTGTACTCTGAAAATTGACACAGTCTTGTTGGCTTCCCTGTGTACTGCCTCTTCATCTTCCAAATGAAGCGGACCTTGATTATGGGTAAACTTTTTGCTTCCTTAGCAAATCAATCTGAAATTTGGAAACAGAGGTCTTTTGGATTTTTGCTTTCACGAGATGCAGTACTTGTTTTTTAGCATGTCCTGCACCCTGTCCTGTGCCGTATCTTTGCGCACCCAAGGTGCACCATCGCAAAAAGCTGAAGACTATTTCTGTAGTTAATTGTCTGTCCTGTTAAATTTATTCTGGTGTGTTCATAGTCACTCCTGGAAGCATTTGGTTTGTTCTCACGTATAAAAAAAGTAAAAAGGCAAAGCTTTCTCACCGAATGAGGTGTTAATACCTGAAATCAAACGGGGTCTGTATTTTAAGGGTATGATTATCATGTAGTCACTTTTCAGAGTAGAACAACATTGTAAGTTCATGTCTGCATGCAATTTCCATTGGTATTCTGATAATGCCTGTCAAATGCAGCTCTCCCTCCACCTTTGAAACTTGTTGTCCTGCGTGCTTATACCAACAGGTTCAGCTAAGTTTAACTCCTGTTTTAAAATGGGCATCAAACTCAGTTGCTCCTATTTCAGCTACCAGAATACTAGAGCACAATACTGGGAAAGGGTGCATGGTTTTATAACCCCTTTGTCAGACACTGCTGCAATTTGTAGCTTAAAAGACCCGTTTCCCTTTTACAAGAAATTTGTGTCATTTTACTGTTTTTTTATCTCTTCTCACCAACTCTTATCCAACATCCTAAAATAGGAATGTGCTAATTACTTTGTTCTAGTGTCAGTTTGCCTGTATTTGAAGGGATTTGTCAGTTGTCTGTTAACTGCTGCTTTACTGTAATCAGTTGGAGCAGTAAGGTCATGAATTTGAACTACCCTTTCACTCCCAGGGACAAAAAAACTGCAAGAGAAAGTATCTTCCCTATGTTATAAAAAAGCCTGTTAGATTGGTAGTGCTTCCTCTGTTTGATGGTACATTGCAGCATTTGAAGGGTTTGGTGTAGAATAGGACTCTTAAAATCTGGGCTTTTGGAGGTGATTGTTTTCTGTGCATTGCAAGCCAAGCTTGTTGTTAGTTTAGGTTGATGTTGTTTCATCTTCAGAAGTGGTCATTCTGGGTAAGAGTAAAGGCCCCTTGGCAAGACAGTATGGAGAGCTTTGCGCTGCCTCTGCTGTGTACCTACTCTGTAGGGCTTCGGTGAACCAGGCATAATAAGCACTTGCGTTGATTCATGAAGTGTACATACATATATATGTGCACGTATATGTGTAATTCTGTTTTCTGTATGAAGATGAAATTTTTAGCTGAGGATGAGATGAAGCTACTTTTTTACAGGTGAACAAGTACTTTGTAGAACTGAAGCTTAAAGCGTTCATATATTCATACGTATTTTGCTAGAAAATAATACTGCTGACTGATTTAAACAGTTACTGGTTTATGTCCTGGTTAGAAACAATTGAAGAAATACTTTGGTAATAAGTACTAACAGACTAATGCTATCAAAATAAATGTGCCTAGATCTAGTTTTTAATATTTTTTCATGTTCTCCTTTACATTAAACATGCTATTCATGTTAAGGACTTAGTAATTTAACGTGCTTTGTGTCCTTGAAGTTTAGTAAGGCTCTGGTTTAGGTGGTCTATATCCTCTTTGTACCTCTGTGCCTTTTCTTCCCTATGGACTGGCCACAGGGATTTAGGTTCAATTAAACTGTAAAACAACTTAATATTATTCATTGCATTTGAGCTCTTTATTTTATGAGATCAGAAGTGATAGCTAAGTGATTATCTCAAGAATTAACTGCACGCTTTATTCCCCAGTGGTTTGCAATTATGTGGCTCTACTGATGCCTGATAAGTCTTTTAAAACTTCGCTGTTTGCACTGAAACTTCAGTTTATACTAGGTGCTTTATTCAGTATGGTGTGTTCCCCAGATAATTTATAAGACCTAGGCTGTTAGCTTTCTAGTTTCGAATCAGAATCTGTAAAACGAATGTCCTGAGTTCTTGAAGAGCATAGGGATGCCGGAGACTAGCCAGGAGGATTTGGGTAACTAGGATTCAGATTCCAGTTTTCCATTTCTAAGCTGCTCACACAAGTTTTCAACAAGGAGACCAGCTGTCCTTACTGGCCGTACGAATGCACTGGTGGTTTTGGACTGAGAAAGTAACAAGTACAATATTTAAGAAAATAGTCCATTGTATACGGGAGTATATCTGCATATAATAAGTACCTATGACAATATGCTTTTGTTTTGGGGTTTTACTGTTTTTCAAATCCGCAAAGTTGCCACTGAGCTATGATAATAAAAGGCTACATGAGAAGGAAAGCTAATTACCCATTAAATTACTGGGTTTTATAATAGTGTCCAGGGTTTTACAAGGTCAAACTCTCTGTGTGCTTTTGAAGTATGACAGGTTCTTCTAGGTACAATGGATATATTTTCAGCCTTCCTGCATTATGATCCTTAACGTGGTTGTCTGAAGTAGTTTCACAGGCTAGACAGGAGTCTCCCCAGTTGCAGCATAGTCCTCTTAAAAAGGGATGGTTCCCAAATTAGACTGAAGGAAGGCTTAATACTCCTGAGTGTGAAACGTGTTGTATACGCGCAGTTCTACTACACATATATAGTGCATATTTGTTAAAAGCTACCGAGGTTCTTAATTTTTTTTTATTTCCTGGATAAATTGTCACATTTAATTTATACTTACATGAAAGCTCAGTTGAAAAAAAAAAAAACCCACACTGAAACAATTCCTGATTCACATGTGCAATTCCATGACCGTGTATGCTAATCAGAGCCATGCCTTTTGTGAGCACCTAGTCAGAACTAATAGGGTACTCTTAGTTTCTGGCACAGAATTGAGCATGTGATCGGTGGAGAAATAGAGATGCTGCAACAGGAAAGCAGCCTGTAAGACTTCCTTTTAAGCGGGCTGTGCTGCCCTCTCCTGGCATTAAATAGTGATGCTACCCGGCATTTACAGGGGAGCTAGGATTTCATTCGTATATTTAATCAATCTAGATGGGAAATACTATAATTTCAGGTGTGTAACTTTTTGTTCTTGAGAAGGCCGTTCCTAGAAGAGAAGTGACTGTAGAGCATCACTCTGCATACAGCTTCACCTGCAGGATGTTGGGTTTCTTTTTTCTTTTTGTCTGCTAGTATCGTGTTGCTGTCGGCTCTTTTCTGGAAATAGTGATTGTCAATGGAAGCTAAAAATGATGGTTAAAACCCCTTCGTTTTTCTGGCTGTAATGAATTAAGAGGCTTTAATTTAAAAGAAAACCCAGTGTTTTTTAAAAGGCGCTGTGGGGCATAAAGTATTTACTGATCCTTTACTGATTATTGCCACTGAATTTTGAAAACTAATTGTAAAATAAATACTAATTACTCCTATTTTAGGTCATAATCTTATAGAGTGCGATAAATGTGATGCTTGATATGTCTTGCAGAGCACTAACATTTCAGTTTCCGGTATTGCAATTTGGCCTTTCAAAAAAGATACTTTACCATTAATACATTACCAGCCCACTGTAACACTTGTTGCCTGGCCTTATAAATACTTGGAACCAAATGAAGGCTTGGCTGGGGCACTGTCAGCTGATTTTTTTTTTATTTTTTTTTTAATTAATTTTGTAATAGAGCACCATTCAAACAGCACATACTGCAATTTGGTTTAAATTCAAATGTAGATATTCCTTCTGTTGACTGTGAAAGGGCTTTTAGTTACTATGTCAGTTTCTAGATAGGGAAACTGAAAATGCTTTCCTTTTCCAACTCATACTCAGTAATTTTGGGTTGGGGTTTTTTGGAATTTTTTTTAGGTAGTAGAGTTGAGTTTTCTAGGTGGGAACTGTCTTTGAATACTTCTGTGTGTATTATAATAGCAGTACTCCTTTTAAAATCATACTGTAGTTGGGAAGGATGCTTTGTTTGCATGCTGCTTACGATAATTGCTGCCTGTTGTAAAGTGGAGGAGAGAGAGGCCTGCTGGAGGAGTTGAGAGTGACATAAAGTGGTTAGAGAGCAATATGTGAGGAGAAATTCACGGGACTGAGGAGATGATGGCCAAAGGTGGAATCACTAGCAAGAAGGAGTTGGACCTAAACCTAGGAAGGCAATTCAGTTCTTAGAAAGTAAGGAAAGATGAAGTGTAGTGAGAGTGATGAATGTTGTCGCAGCAAGAACAGGACTTCATGTTTCTAAAAGGAACTTCAGTTTCATATATCTTTGGTTGTTTAGAATGAAGTAGAGCATTCTTAGTTACTTGGTTTGAAATTTGACATATTTAGTGCTTGCAAGAGGTACCAGATTGAAAGCCTGGGATGCTGAAGTCATCAAATACCCTGCAGAACAGGTACAGCAGGACAAGCACCATGTGTGCCTCCCCAAAAATGCCCTTTCATGCCATAAGTTGGAAAAGTACCTCAGTAGGGACTGAAGGGTAGTTCAGATTTCATGGTCTATTTTGAAACAATTGGCTGACTTTGAGACTACTAACAAGGGTGTAAGTCAGTGTTACTTGTGAAGTAGAAATCTGCCCACTAAGCTAAGGCCCACCCAGTTCTAAAGTTTCTGTAGGTCTGGGTGGATGCTCACTTTACCTGCTTTGTTATATCCTTCTAATGACATTTCTTTTCCTGGTGCCCTTCACGTAAAATAAAAATGAGGAGGAGAATGGGTTTATATATGGGAAGATAAAGCTATCTAACTCCTCCAACCGTAATGAGGTAAATATAAATAACAAGACAAGACTGTTGGTTCCTTTTGCTCCAGGGTGTATCCATAGTTCTAGTACACTTACTGTTTTACTGTTGCTTGTTTTCCTTACGGCTTTTACTGACAGAGCTGCTTCCTTGTAGGAGGACTGACAAATGGTAGTGGTCGCTATATTTCTGCAGCACCTGGAGCCGAAGCAAAGTATCGCAGTGCGGCAAGTACCTCCAGTCTTTTTAGCTCCACCAGTCAGCTCTTCCCTCCTTCACGCCTTCGTTACAGTAGGTCTGACATTATGCCTTCTGGACGTAGTCGGTTGCTGGAAGATTTCAGAAACAATCGTTTCCCTAATCTTCAACTAAGAGACCTTGTTGGACATATTGTTGAATTTTCCCAGGACCAGCATGGTTCTAGGTAATTATTACAGTAAAGTGAATAACTTAATAATATTTTACTGCTTTGATATTGTTATATTAACATCAAACATTTGAATGAGCTGCTAGTCATCTTGATACAAAGCATGCAATTAGTTGGAGCCCGTGCTCTTACACTGACCTTTTTCTTCTCTAGGAAATTTCATTATAAAGGTAGTATAAATTTAGCTGCTTGTAGAAGTTCTCAGTGTAGAAATAGCCTCATAACTAGACTTGTAAACTCTAGTGTTTAGATGTCAAAAAGGCGTTGATTAAGTAAACAAAATACCTGGCATCTGGAATGTAAAACTGGTTTTCAGCAGTACATCATCAGGTACTTAGTTATTGTTATTCTCTTTATCTTTGATCCTTTTCAATTGAAAGGTTTTAAGTACAATTTTACTAAAATGTATCCTTTTATATGCAAAGGCGCTACTTTCATTTTAATAAGTTTCATAAAAGCTGAATACTTGCTTTAGAATTTTTGAGGTGTCTCATTGAAACAGCGTTGGAGAGGTTTTCCTGTGGTTTATGTAAAGCATAATGTACCTTTTTTTTGCACTTAGATTTATACAGCAAAAGCTGGAGCGAGCTACTCCAGCTGAGCGCCAGATGGTATTTAATGAGATCCTGCAAGCAGCATATCAATTGATGACTGATGTGTTTGGAAACTATGTAATACAGAAGTTCTTTGAGGTAAGCATAGCACTAAGTGTAAGAACAGAAACGCGAATGAAATGCTGTAAAATCTGATTAAATTTAACTGCCTTTTTTCTTAACATCATAGCAGAATTCTACTGGACTTTTACCACAGAACCCAGGCGTGTAACACTGCACACGTGTTTTCTGTTCTGTATCCCCTGCTTTTTTTCGTAACAAGCACAGTTTCTCTTTACACTGGTGGTGCGTGTGTTGGTGAATTGGTGAATGTACGGGCTGCACACGTAGCCAAGCCTTATGAGAGTGTTACAAGATTTGACTTAGAAGAAAAGGCAATACCTGTATCTACCTGTGTCCTGGAAAGTTATATGTAGGAAAGGTATCTAGCATAGTATACTTTTCATCAAGGACCATATCAGAGTACCTGAGTGGATGGAAGGTGAGGCTGGAAAATAAGATGGTTGCTGTGAACAGGAATGTAGTTTTTAATGAGTAATCTACGAAACAATGTGCTCACTTTTTTTATTTGATATTCTTTTCTACAAATCAAAATATCTTCTGAAAAGCATGGCTGTCGTGTGGTATGTAAGATCTTGTCCATCTCAAGGGTCATCAGTTGCTGTTTTTTCTGTAATGTTGGGCTGGGTGGATACGTAGATAATCATTGTCAATTGAGTGTTTTCACCTTAATTCTGCAGGTGAGTTCTCAAGACAAAAGTGCGCTAGGCCTTAAGGGACTCTTCATTTTTTAAGAAGGAAGGTGAAGTTATTTGAGCTTTTTTCAGAGCCTTAGGTGACTTCAGGGGTGGGGGTTCTCAGGAGTGCTGCATGAATGTTGCTGGTGCCACCCAGCTGATTGTCCAGGTGGGAGAATCACTTGAGAGATCACAGAAGGTGATCACTTCTATGTGGTCTCTTGTACTGTGCCATCTGAGGAGCTTGTGCGGGCATCTGGGAACGGGGTTATGTGTGGTATTATGAAGCTTGACCGGCTTCTACTCTGCTCAGTGTGGAGCAGCACAGAAGGTTGTAGTAGCCTGGTGAAGGGAATAACAGGGGCAGGAATTAGCTACTGCTGAAAAACACTGGTTGAATCGTACTCTTAGGCAGCCAGTGTACAAAACCATTTTGATTTTGTTCTGCAAAGCCCAAATATTTCTAGATTTCCCAGAGCCCCCGTGGTAAGAATGACTCTTCAAGCCATGTGAAGTTAGCAAGAAGCTACTTCGAGGGTTGAAATCTTCATATCCCCCCCCCCCCCCCCCGCCCCTTCTTTTACTGGTTGCTTACTGTATACAAAATCTAAGATACACTAACCTGTACAAACTTGAGATATCAGAGAAAATCTGTTCTGAATTAATACATTACAGTAAGCTGTAATTAATGTGCCTGTTATAATTTGTCTAAATAAGTGGGTTATTGCACTTGCATATTCCTCCAGGCAGTCAAGTATAAACTACTTCGATCTCTTCAGTTGGCTTTCAAGGTGATGCATTTGGTAGGAGGTATGTGACTGGAATGTGGAATATTACAAAATGTTGCATTTAGAAAGCTTCTGGTAAATATACCCACCGAAAATACAGAGGGAAGAATCTTTCAAGGCACATAGCAAACCTGTAACACATTGTGAAAGTACTTACTCTGTCGTGTAAATTCCAGCATGCTGCAATACGTCTTCGTTTGTTAACAGCGCGTTTATTTTCTTTTAGTTTGGAAGCCTGGATCAAAAGTTAGCCCTAGCAACACGCATACGTGGTCATGTTCTGCCGTTAGCCCTGCAGATGTATGGTTGTCGTGTGATTCAGAAAGCACTTGAGTCAATCTCACCTGACCAGCAGGTAATTGTAAGTTAGAGCAATACTTTTTTTATTTTATTTCTTTTTATTGCACCTATCTTTTTACTTGCTTAAATTCTTGATTGTTGCTTTCATTATGAAATGCCCTAGGGACTAAAATAGTTGTTTAAATTAAATTTCTGAGGGACACAAGTAAACCGTCAGTGAATAAGAAGATTGGACAGTTGGGATGAAATGGAATATTTCTTTGGGGGTGGGGGGAAGGAAAAAAAAAATTCATTGTAAAGAAAAGGTTAATCTTTTTTTCCAGAATGAAATGGTGAAAGAGTTGGATGGCCATGTTCTGAAGTGTGTGAAAGATCAAAATGGAAACCATGTTGTACAAAAATGTATCGAGTGTGTTCAACCCCAGTCGCTCCAGTTCATCATTGACGCGTTCAAAGGACAGGTAGTGTCAACAGTTAGTTTCCTCTTCTGCAGGGTTGCTTTGATTTGCAGCATATACAAGATAGCATTTGACACATTACAGTCAGCGTGGTATAAGTAGAGTAAAAAGGGATGATAAAATGGAAAAGCCGTTGAAGAGACAGTTAACATGCTGTGAAAAGATGAATCTGTTGGAGATGAGGCCCTAGAAAGACCTGTTTGGATGTGTTATAAATACCAGTAGAGGAATTTGGCTTAAGGACAGGCTTTCTGTTTCAGTTTTGTGATATGCCATTTCAAATTTCCTTTATAACTTCTAACGTTGCCGGTTTTGATGTAATAATAAAGTATCTGCTCTCTAGCGTATATTTTTTTCATTAAAATTTCTGTTTTCTTCTTCATAACTGTGGGTTATGGTGCAAGTCTGTCTTTCAGTGTTTCCCAATTAATGTCTATCATTAAGGAAATACTTGGAAGATATAGGTGAATCTGTTCCCTACATATGGACTAGTGTTAAGTGAAGGGGGGTGGTATTTGTTTGTTTAAGGTTGGGGGTTTGGTTTTATTTCCAAAAACGTTACTAATATAAGATTGATATTGTGCTGCAGGCTAGAGAATATGCTGCAGCTAAGTAAGATTTTAATACTCTAGACAAATGTGTACTTTTATAGTCTCAAGAAGAATTGTAAAAATCTTACTAACTTGGCTGTGTTACTGAATTTTACTTTCATGGCTGGCCAAAATCTACAATATCCTTCTCTCACATTTTAAACAGCAGCAATACCTGAATTATTGTTGTACGCTGTAGTAAATGGCATACAAAGGTTTCTAGGGTGGGGTCTTTCTACATCCGAAAGTATGTATGGAGTAGATGAGATGCAGTTTTTAAACTGTAAACAGAGGCCCTTGACTAAAATGTGACTCTATTCACTGGACATCCATCCTCAGCTCCAAGTAATTGTATATAAAAAATATTACATAATCTGGGGTGGCAGATGAAAAATACCACACTTTAGACATCGATCCAAACAATGCAAGCAGGTGAGAAAGATATGTACTGTTACATGCCATGACTAGTTAGACAAGATTCTGTGTTCAGTTCTGACCAGCGCTGATTCTCAAACCTTCTGAATTAATCCCTGAAACACAAGCCTGGCTTCTGGAGAATCAAGGAATAAGCAAGGTGTTGACTGTATGTTTTGAATACTTCTTTGCAAATTCTCTGTCTGTAACAGGGAGCCTGTTGTATGTGCTGGAATGTGAAATTTGTGAAAATCAGCCACCGTAATTGAACTCCTTTTTATAAACGTCAAAGTATTAATATTTGAAAACTAAGTACGAAGATAAAGGGGAAGCTTGAAAGGTGAACAGCGCTTTACTAAGGGTCGTACTTCAGGGCTTTCCTTTGCAGCGAAGTAGGCCAGAAACGTTGTAATGAAAGCTTGGGTTCTTAGTTGTGTAATTGCTGGAGTCCTTGCCACACAAAAAAAATGCATTTTCATCTTTTCCTGACTTCTAGTGGAGCTGGAGTTTTGCTATTGGCAGGCAAAACTTTTTTTTTTTTTAATAGAAGTAATTGGCATGTTCAGTTCCATTTCGTGGTAATATTGCTGTATCTGTGAACTTTGGGTGGGTTAACTTCCGTTTGCATCCTGCTTTAAGGTGTTTGTACTTTCAACTCATCCATATGGGTGCAGAGTAATTCAGCGTATTCTGGAACACTGCACTGCTGAGCAGACTTTGCCAATCTTGGAAGAACTGCATCAACACACAGAACAGCTAGTGCAGGTTAGTGCCTGTATTTGTTTCTTCATGCATTTTAGGCTTTTTTTTGTTGTCATAATTTATTCCTATTTCTTAGTTAAAGAAATAGTGTAAATGCATTTGCCTCTTTTTAGTTGTGTAGACATTGATTTTTTGTTTTTCTTTCCTTCCATAGTTTTAATGAAAATGAATTTGGAAGTTGGGAGGCAAAGAAGATATAAAAAGCCTTTTTCTTACACTTTTGACTGTAGCTTCGAATATACATTGTAAATGCACAGAATTAGTGTATTTTCTTTTATTGCAAAGATTGCCTTTTTGTATTTTATCTTGATTCACTCAGGTGTCCTTCTAATAATTGTTCCTAAACACAAATACATTGTCAAAAATACAAACGTTGGATATTGTTACACAAAAAGGGCATCTTTTCTAAAAGAAGGCGAAAGACCTTACACAACACGACTTCCTGTCTTGGTCCGAGGTGAACCAAACGAGTGCTACAAGTGGTTTTGAAATTGAATCAGTTTAACATACTGGAAGGGCCTTGGGGTTCAGTAGGAATTTCCACACATAAAAAGGAAAAAATTGCCTTTTGCTGCATATTCACAGTCTAGTTTTATTTATTTATTTATTTAGTACGTACAAGTCTCTAGTTAAAACATAACTGTGTTGGGGAGATATTACGGCTGTTAAAGAATGATGATCTTCATTTTGAGGACTTCTTTCTTTAAGAGGATAAAAGGTACCCTAACAAAATGCTGGTTTTACAGATTATTTACGTTTTGCATGTAAATTTTGTGGTCTATTAAGTAATTCTTGATGCAATATTTCTTGCATCACTTTGTTTCTATAGTGTTGACATAATTGTATTTTTCCTTATATCTGTGCAAATAGTAAATTGAAAGTGTGTACAAATGTACACTGTATGGATTACTTGGTGTGAACACAAAAGAAAATTGAAGTCATCTTATTTTCAGGATCAATACGGAAATTATGTTATTCAACATGTACTGGAGCACGGTCGTCCTGAAGACAAGAGTAAAATAGTTTCAGAAATAAGAGGAAAAGTTCTAGCTCTGAGTCAGCACAAATTTGCCAGGTATTGCACAGCCTTCACATATTAAAGATTCACTAACCTTTTACAGTTGTAGTATTTATTTGTTGTGTTACAAAAAGGATGTGATAGGGTTAGGTTTCTTCTGTTGTGTAACCGCCTGAAATTTCATGTTTTTATAGAGATGAACTGTAGCGGTATTTTTGTACTGGATTTGGGGAAGGGAAAGGGGGAAATGCTGTTCTGTAGCAAAACAAGGAAGATTCCACAGGTTTATGAGATGGGTTTTGTTTACCTGGTACAAGTGCAGGGAATGGGTTCCAGGTCTCCATCTGAGGATCCCTAGAGCCAGGTGAAAGGCTGTCCCAGAACTCACTTGATATGCCGATGGCGATAAGCTGGGACTTCCTGACTGTCTGTCGGTCCAGCCCAGCAGTTGACAAGGCTGAAAAGGCCAGCCTTAAGAAGTGGTTGTCCAGCCTGACAGAGATTTCATATATTGGGTAGTCTGAAAGACAATTGTAGGAGTCCTGAACTATTCTTAAACGAGAACCTAAAACTCGTCCTTCAGTGTTTTTTGCTGAAATACAGATTAGGTGCTTTTTCCTAAGTAAAACACACCTCAGAGTTCATCTTGGATGATTTAGTGAGACTAACCTTGTCATCAGCATTAAGTAGAAATGCACTGTGACGTGGGGGCATTTGTTTTAAGCATTGGTTGTATGCAAACCAGCAACTTGGTCTGGATTTTATTTTTCTTTGCCTAAATAGAACTGTTCATAATCCTCTCCTTGGAACTTGCTTAATTTCTAAAGTGCAAACCTAGGACCAGACTCACTTTGCTGCCCTGTAAGCATTGATGGCTTTTCCAGCTTCTGAGATGTCTGGAAGGTCAGAGACTTCCTCTACAAAAAGAAACATGTGACAGTATCTGATCTGGGTATGCTCCTGAAAAGCGCCTTTATTCGAAAGGCGGGAAGCCTCATACCTGGCTTTCTCTGTTGCGTCTTAAAAGGGCCCACGACCAAACCAGATGTACTAGAATGCATCTGCAACCTGAGGTCCAGTATATCTGCTGTCAGTCCAGTGGAAAATCTCTCCTACAAGATAATAAGTATGAGAAAATTACTTTTTTTTTTTTTACAGAAGTAGGAGTTTATAATACTTTTAACTTTCTCAGTCATTACAGACTAGAGATTTGGAAATCAGGACTTGGTGCGTTTCCCCTGCGCTCTTTGTGGTGTTAAGACACTTGAACTGTTCAGATAAATTTAAAATTCCTGCTTAAAAGAACGTTGCACCTGAAGTCACTGAATGTGTTTGTCTTATTTTTCAGCAATGTGGTAGAAAAATGCGTAACTCATGCTTCTCGTGCTGAAAGAGCTTTACTTATTGATGAGGTCTGTTGCCAGAATGATGGTCCTCACAGTGCCTTATACACCATGATGAAGGACCAGTACGCCAACTACGTTGTTCAGAAGATGATTGATATGGCTGAACCCGCTCAGCGGAAGATAATAATGCACAAGGTATATCGGTGTATGGTTTTATTGGTTCACAGAACGTTACCTGTGCTCACTTTTCTGCTAGACTGCCTTTCCCTCTGGATGTAAAACTCACTAGTTCTGTCATCTTGGACTTGATGTGTAAACATCAAATTCAGTGGAGCTCAATAAAGCAGAATATATTCAGGTCTCTGAGCGCTGGGCTAAAAATGTAAATCTCCAGGAAAGTTTCAGAAGCTGGATTTCATAACTTCTCCTCGTGCCAGCTTTTCCTTGAAAATACTTTCAATACAAAAAGGTAGTATCTGTCATCTTTGTTAATATAGCAGAAGAAATACAGGTTTCTCTCTTTTTATTTGCTGGTTGCTGGGATAAATCCGTTCTGCAGTTCCCCCAAAAGAGATTCCCGCCCTTCCCAAGGTAGGGGCACATCTGCTGCTGCCCAACACCTGGACCTGGACAAAAGAGCTGTTGCCACAGTTGCCCGAGGCCGTTTGACACAGGGCCCAGTATATTCCTGCGGGAGCTCTGCTTCCCCCAGTCACCAGCAGGGCACTCCACAGAAGAGCTGCCTCCCTTTTCCTGTGACAGCTATGTCAGTTGTTTGGTCAAAGTCACGAGTTTTACATCTTTCCAGAAACTTCCAAAACTTTGAAATACAGGCTTCTGACATTTTTTACATTTTGTATTTTTAAAGTGTAGGAAGGTCTACTTAAAGTTTTTGAGGGGAAAAAAAATAATAACGAGTTTCTTCTCGCAGATTCGACCCCACATCACAACTCTGCGTAAATACACCTACGGCAAACACATTCTGGCCAAGCTGGAAAAGTATTACCTGAAGAACAGCGCTGATCTGGGGCCGATCGGTGGACCACCAAATGGGATGCTGTAAAAGGCAGGCAGAAGTGGGAGGAAGATGGAATTGTGAATGATCAAAACATACAACTTAACTATAAATGTTCTGATTTTTTTAAATCTATTTATTGACTTTGTTCATCCATTTGTAAAATTTTTATTCTTGTGTATATTTTTGGGGAGTGAATTATTAAAAAAAAAAAAAAAAGAAAAAATATCTCCAGCCCTGATCCGGAGACCTATCAGATTGGATGGCTGGCAAAGCACAGAATGCCTGTATATGATGTAATTGTATCAAAATAGCTGTCACATATTTTGTAAATTTTTACCTTGTAAAGTCACTGAAATAGTTTTTAAAGGGAAAAAGTACAGTATTCTTTTAATACACTGGCTTGCAATCTGGTAGGTCTACCCAGCATCATAGCACAACAGGTTTATAGAGTTGTATATAGAATTAATCCTTATTTTTCCCTTTTGTGTGAAGTCTTTTATACCAGATGAAAATTGATCAGCTGCATAAACATTATTTAACATGTCGAAGAGTTAAGTTGTATTTTGGTGGTTCACAACACGCTACCCAAATAATAAACGGGGCACGGCAAGTTGGAGTGGGGAGTAACGGAAACTGCCCAGGACGAGCTTCCGTCCCTCGCTGCGGATACAGCGGAGTTTTTAAATGGGTGCCCTAAGGTTTTCTCTAGCGATGTATTAAAAATAAAAGTGCTGTATATACTTATATATTTAATTGTTGTACAAGGTAGAGGGGTTAAAATGATGGTGGTACTTCCACTCGGTAAAGGACGCTGTTGGAAAAGGAGCGAACCCTGTGTTAACTTTACAGGCAGTTTCACAACGCAGGAAGAGTAGAGATTTGTATTTTTTTATTTTGCATATAGAGTTGTAAGGATTTGAAAGTGTTGAGCATTTATTTTGCTTTCTCACTGTAGATGCAAAAAAATAGGTATTGATGGAGAGAAAAGGGGCCACTGAAAAGTAAACTTGATAGCTCAACATTTAAGCATGATTGATTAAATATTCAGATAGCTTTTTTGCTTCCTATAAATATATGCATTGTATACGTGTAGTTAATAGGTGTAAGTTTACAATTTGGAAACAAATCTCTCGTTTCGATGTTTATTACAAGCCTTGCTAATTTAGTAGTGATGCTTACCTTGGTTGTACAGATGTACATTTGTAAACCTTCATGCTGTAAATGTAATTTGTTTTACCCCTTTTTGGGACAAAAATTTGCATTTTAGTGTATATTCATATCCCCGTTCCCTCTTCTCCCCCGGCATATAGTGTTGTATAATGTAAATTTATTTCAGCAAATCAAGAGTGATTTTTTTAAATTCTATCTTTATATGGTTTCAGAAATACGAACCGGCTTTCTTTTTATCTATTGTGAGAAACATTATGTTTTGTTTATAACATAGCCATTGATTCTGTTAATATGGACACTTTGGGAAATCAATCTGTTCAAATTTTAACTCGGGATACTAGGCATAGTGAGAAGTGGACTGAAATACTTGGTTATCACAGAAACCGATGCTTCTTCCATCTTAATAAATGTGGCATGATTTTTTTGTACAGAAGAGTACTGTATTTTTGAATAGCCTTCTCCCAGCATAAAGCAAATATGTATGATACTGTCAATTTTTTTCTCTGGACATATGACATTGTAACAGTAACATAAAGATGATGTACATTTACAAGCGGCCTTATGTACATTTCCCAATGATCTTTTTAAGGCAGAATTGTGACCATATGTGTATAATTAAAATCCTTTTTAATCCTTTGCCTATGGAAATATTTTGGAAAAAGCTTACTTTGTATATTCAGTTTCTGAAAGATAAAGAAAGTGCTTTGTATGTTGTTGAAGTAAGTATTTTGTGTAAAACATTCGTTTGGATGGCTTAACCGGAAGTTGTGATCAACAGGGTAGTTGGAAAACGATGTCTTGAGCACTGATCAAATAAAAGGCTGTTAGGGTAGGGGTCTGATCGTGAGGAAGGAAGATAGTGGTGGTGTAAACTTGTGCAAGGAGCGAGTTCTGTCGCGTTACCCTGTGTGTCAGGTTTACACCCATCTTACTCAAGCAGACGGCTGAGGCGCTGCTCTCGTCAACGGCGGCGTTAACTCATTAATAGGCCAGCGGGCGAGTTTGGTGCTGGACCTGCCGCCCCCCTGGACGCACTCGTCCCCCTCGGTGACCCCTTTGCCCCGCTGCAGTGCAGCCACAGAGGCGGCATTCAC